TCAGGTGTTGTAGGTTCAGGTGTTGTAGGTTCAGGTGTTGTAGGTTTAGGTGTTGTAAGTTTAGGTGTTCTAGGTTCAGATGTAAGTTCAGGTGTTGTAGGTTCAGGTGTTGTAGGTTCAGGTGTTGTAAGTTCAGATGTAGGTTCAGGTGTTGTAGGTTCAGGTGTTGTAGGTTCAGGTGTTGTAGGTTCGGGTCTCTTGGATTCAGGTGTTGTAGGCTCAGGTGATGTAGGCTCAGGTGTGGAAGGTTCAGGTGTTGTTATAGGTTCTGGTGCTGGTGTCGTTGTGATGGTTGTTTCATGTGTTGTTGTCTGTTTTGATGTTGTTGTTAGCTCGCTCGAACAGACTTTATTGGATCGCCGAATGTTCATATAGTCCAGAGCTATTGTACTTGAATTTCCTGTCACCACGGTCTCGAAGACAATCTGCAGACAGAAGCAAAGGACAGTAAATATTAGTTCATTACATCGACATACGAGTAATAATACGGGGAAAAAAAAGAGGGGAAAAAAAGAAGAAAAACCGCTTGGTAAACGTGTTTGTGTACGATGTAAACACTCAGTTATGTTATAATTAATACCTGATGCAATCTAACCGCGTATGCGGCCTCGATGTGACTTTGTGAAGTCTTGAAAAAGAATGGTATTCGGATCATTCAATCAAAAACTTTCAAGGAAAGATCACTTTGACGGAGTTCGTTTTGGAGGTGTTGTAGATTCAGGTGTTGTAAGTTCGTTATACCTACCATGTTGTAAGTTGCATTATAACCTTTTTTTCAACCCTGTTCTACAGTTCAATTTGGGATTACTGACTTACCGACCTAAAGTGACCATATCGTTTAAACTCCAACCAAGTTGAAATTGACACTCCTGTGATAGAATGACCCTTTGACAACTACAATGACACTCAGTAAACAAATTTGGAACCCAAGTAGTGCCAAGTAATGACTGTTTCCTGTACCACTAACACAATGTACTAAGCTGTATTTGGCTAAAACTGTTCATTTTCAGGTAATATCGTACGAGTAAAATATATGTATATCTATTGCTAATCTCTGTAGCGTTTTCTTCAGCAATGACAATATAATAATCTCTATACAGGAAAAGATAGTTCGTGAGCAACAAACGTGTGGAAATAATTATTAGGGTTCTTGGTTGGCTTTGTAAGTTCTTGTGATATTTTTTATACGTTTCCTGTATAAAATCAACTCTTCCTCAAGTTTTCCAAGAGTGACTGTGGATAGAATGTCTGCTAAAAAAAAGTCTTCTGAAAGGTGCGCAACTCTACCTCTGCAGGTGGGTTGTCACTATTTCACCATATATCCTCTGGCATAAGGATGGATTTTTCTTCTTCTCAAAATTATTACTTTGCTTTATATTGCGCTCTATTTCGTGCTGAGTTGTTGATGGAAGGCCAGACTTTAAGAAAAAATATTATGTTATTATGCCCCCCCAGCCCTTGACTGTTTGGCAAGCCTTAGCAATAATCTACTTGCGTCTTTTATGAATTTTGAATTAATGTAAAAAGCGAACACATCACTGTAACAAGATTTCACATTTACACATTTTTATATAATATACCGCCTTTTACTTTCTTCACCCTCTCAATCACCTTCGTTCAAAATCAAAGCTGATGATCAAATCTGTTACGATGGAAATTTTTTGCGAAAGTAGAAGAATATTAAACTGGGGCTTTTCATCTTCTGTTGTTTGCAACCCGAGTCAAGTTTGCTCAAAAATTTAATATTTCTTTCTCAGTCCAGTTTGCGCCAAACTACTAAACTAGATACGAAAAACTCCGGGAGAATGAGTTCTGGGGGTAGATTTGTTATGGAAACCATGACACAACAGTAATAGCAAAGATTATCCGCTACAAGACGACATTAAACGACAAGTCACAAACGTGAAAGGATACTCACATTAGAATCCTGGAGCACACACTGTGATGAGAGGCGAGCTGTTTGCCAAACGCCGTTAGTGCTCAGATCTGACATCGAGAGAAGCAAAACGTCTTTTCCTGCACCTTTCACTCGTGGCGAGTTGTACACGTTAAGGAATTGCTTCTCACTGCCTGTGGTAGCGTAGTGGAACTCAATACAAACAGCTTGTATGCCGAAAGCTAAGCTACCTGTCAGTGAAGCTTTTGAACCAACTGGGGCGCCTTGTGTTTCCGTCTTCAGGTACACGTAAGATCCTGAAGAATAACAATATAGGATGATTAGTCCTAATATTATCAACTCGACAGGAGAGAACTTTGCAACACATAAATCACGGTTCTCAATGTGCTGTTTGAACGATGTATTTTTTAAAGCTTTTTTCCCACAGATAGAACTGCTGCAAATGTTAATGAGAAAAAAGGAGCAGATACCTGTATTCTTAATCCAGACGGACATTACAGCAGCCCCTCACACATTGCAGAGCAGAAGTAAGGGCTGGGTGTACGCAGCAGAACCATCAGGAAATTAACTTATGAAGAAAGGCCCATTTTATTCTAAAGCGTCGTCAATTCTGAAAGCTACAAGAGCAGAAATAGCTTTCACTATTTCTTATGGCCGTGCAGTGTCCCAGGGGCACCTACAGTGTTTTATGTGGAAATGAGACGAAGACTGATTGGCAAAGCTTGGAGCACTGGAGGAACAGCCAACACAAGAGTCAGGTACGAAGAATACCCCCCCCCCCAAAAAAAACCCAAACAAACAACAACAACAACCCAACAACAACAAAAACAAAAAACAAAAACAAAAACAAAAACACACGCACAAAAAACAACAACAACCAATAACCAAAAACACAACAACGAACAAACAAAAAACAACAAAAAACCCCCCTCAACCAAACAAACCAAACAAATAAACAAACCCACCAACAAAAATAACAACAAATACATGAGGCCACGGCGACGCATTGAAGAATTATGGCAAGCAGCTTGGACAGGTTATCATTAATTTCCTCCTAAGGACATCGCACAACTTCTTGAACTACCACAGCACAAACGCTTTTGGGTATTGCAGTAATCTACACGTGCCCGCACAGAAACTGATCAGACATCCTTCAGAGAACACAATAAAAGGAAACAAGATATTTAAAAAACCCTTGTAGTTTCCCAAGGGAAGCTGAACAAGACGATAGACAAGCTGCTGAAGACCACCCTATTATTAGAATTTGCAGATAAAATTGGCTTTCAGCTGAAATATGCTAGAGAACGTTGTGATAATGTCAGAATTAAATAGGATTGGGAGATTAAAACAAAACAATAACGGGAGTCTTTCGACAAATATGACATTCATTTTGAGGAAATGGAGACATCCTCACCTATTTTGGTCTTGCCGGGAGGCTGCCAGTCGCGAGCTATGGGTCCTGCACCAGCCGCGCCCCCTCCTAGAACCCAGGACACTTTAGTGTTGTCCGCGGTGAGAGGCCTCCAAGTACAGATGCTTTTGTCGAAAGTACACACCGGGACACCACGATAGCTGCGTGTACACTGAGGGTCTGGAGGGACCGTTGTTGACGATCGGGGGTAGACTGGAATTATATCTGATATATTTATAAGACATACAAATATATATTACATATTATATTATAGACACACACACACACACACACACACACACACACACGCACACAC